GTTGGATTTCTGTATTAGTGGTATCAGGGTTTGAAGAGCAATACCACCAAGTGGTAGGCAGGCACTGTGCCCTAGAGCCACACCCAAAGTTATTTTTCAGATAAAGTCATATACTTTTTGTTCCTGCCAATTTAAGACTGCTTATGCCTCTTGCCTAGCTGCGAGTACAGATAGGTACTACCAAGCTTGGCTTGTCTGTTGAGATGGAATCTTGCTAACTTTTGGCTTGTGGTTGTCCTCAAAAACTATGATCCCCCAGATTTCCTCCTCCTAAGTTTCTGGTATTATAAGTGTGAGCCATTGTGCCAGGCCACAAGTTGGAATGTTTTCCCTAATTTTTAAATGATGAAAACCAACTTACAGAGAGCTTATTATGTGTGCCAGGCAGCGTAAGCCACTTAACTCAGTCTTCAGAAAGCATGGGCTGTTATCATCATCCTACCCCATCTCTACCGCTGGGGAAACAGAGGCACAGAGAGATTAAATTCACGTGGGTATGGTTATACCATTTGTCAGCAACAAAGCCAGGACTCAGATGCTCGCACATCTAGCTCCTGAGTTTGTAGTCTTGGCCTGCTTATTACAACTGCTCTCATCAAAGATGTTCATGGGTTAAAATAAAATGTCATAATTGCAGAACTCATTCCTGCCGGTGTTCAATGTCTGGTTAATAACCACTGTATCTAGCCTGTGCCAGGCACACACATTACCTGCCAGGCTATAAACTATTTATCTCCCTTCCTCTCCTCACAACCCTTAAAGGCATCAGAGGACACAAGTCTTGTCAGTGGGGTGATGTGCAGTTTCAAACTGTCATCTCCTTCCTTATTTGGTCTTCCTCAATATCGGTGGCACCTTTCACCAGCAAAATTAAACAGCAACAACAACAACGATCACTCCAATCTCAGTTTAATTAGGTGCCTTTCCTTATCAGGTCGGTTTACCTATCTCCTTATCAGGTTGGTTTACCTATCGTACAGTTTGTTCTCTTTTCCTGGGTGCTCAAGTTCAAGTTCATCTTTTCTGCAATGCCTTTCCTTGCACACTGTCTGCTCTATGCTCAGCCAGCTCTGATGACTTGTTTGATGTGTCTTCATATGGGAGAAGCATCTTGCATATAAAGAAGAAAGAGGGCTGGTTACTGATGGCTCCCGCCTGTAATCCTCCCTACTCAAGAGGCTGAGATTAGAGGAACTCTGTCCAAAGCCAGCCCAGGGAAGAAAAGTCTGTAAGACTGCATCTCCAATTAACCAGCAAAAAGCTGGCAGGAGGTATGGTTCCAATGGCAGAGTGCCAGCCATGAGCAAAAAGGCCAAGTGAGCCCAAGACCTGGGACCTGACCAATAAATTAATTAATTTAAAAAGGGAGCAAGAGGTCACTGACAGAGCCCTTGCCTGGCATGTGTACAAGTCTCTGGATTTGATCTGCAGCATTGAAAAAAAAAGATTACTTAAAAGGGGGGAAAGAGAATAAAGAGATGGCATTTGGGAGGATCCTGGCATCACTGGGCTCTACTAAGCACAGATATCAAGGGAACACAACTAGTTAAAATAATATCTTGCCAGTCACCGATCACTCACGCCTGTAATACTAGCTACTCAGGAGGCTGAGAGCTGAGGATCATGGTTTGAAGCCGGCCAGGGCAGAAAAGTCCATGAGACCTTAGTTCCAATAAACTCCCCCCAAAAGTCAGTAAGGAAGTCAAGTAAGGAAGTCCTAGCCTTGAACAAAAAAAGCTCAGAAACAGCACCCAGACTCTGAGTTCAAGTCCCAGGACCAGCACAAAACCAAAACCAAAAAACCCCTCCATCTTCTTGATGAAAATGAACAAAGAAGTCAGATTTGTTTCCTACATGTCTGTGGGATGATAGAGCAGCTCTCTGAATCCCAGTTTTCTCATCTGGAAAATGGGTTACAGGGGTAGAGTTGAGATGAAGTTACACAGAATAGGTTGGGGGAAAAAGCCTGGTGTGCAGAAACTGAGTAGATTTTTTTTAGACCAAGTACCGAGGCTGAATATTTTTTGAAGTCTTATTGTGTTGCTGAGGCTGATCTCAAACTACTAGGCTAAAGCAATTCTCTTCCCTCAGCCTCCTGAGTAGCTGGGACTACAGACATGTACCACCATACTGGGCTTGACTTTTTTTTCCCCTAGTCCTGGGGCTTGAACTCGGGGCCTGAGTATTGTCCCTAAGCTTCTTTTTTGCTCAAGGCTAGCACTCTACCATTTGAGCCACAGTGCTACTTCTGACTTTTTCTATTTATGTGGAACTAAGGAATTGAATCAGGGGCTTCATGAATGCTAGACAAGCACTCTACCACTGAGCCACATTCCCAACCCCCCCCATTTTTAAACATAGATTATTTTATTTAATAGGTTCTACCTGTGTGGGTTAATTAGCAACCTCTGCTAACCCATTTTACTGATGGGGAAAACTAGAACAAAAGAGGTTTTTGACCATTCCTAAGGTGCAGAGCTCTGTCCACATTTCATACTAGAATTCCTTGGATTTCACTCCAGGCCAGTCATATTACTGCATGGGGACCATTTCTTGAAACAGGAGATTGGACAATTTGGTTTTTCTCAAGCTTTTCGTCCCCACATAGAGTCTGTAAGACATTCATCCTCCCTCCCCCCCAATACAGATACCTTGGCACAAACAACCCCTTCGTATCCACCCTGCATTCTCCACCCACATCTCCAACACTACCAGAGAGTTTGGAAAACCGAGGGTGAGCTCACTGCTAGGAAGAGGATTCAATTAAAATCTCAGTTTTCAACAATATCATCAAGGCCTGTGGTCGGTCCCTTACTTCGCACCTGTCAGCGGAGGGAGCCGGGCAGCGATGACGGCAGTGAACTTCCGAGAAGAATGCAACACACCCAGCAGACTGCTCTTCTCTGGGCCCCTCCTTTCTACTCTCAGGGTGCCCATTTTACAGATGTGGAAACTGAGAGCCAGAGCCATGAAAGACCCACTGCTTGATCCTAACAAAGCCTGAATTCCTATCTGTTTGACCAGTCTCTGTCTCCCTCGATGGCTTGAGCAATAAGGACTTCAGGGTTTTTGTCTTTGAACCAACCTTGGGGACTCTTCAGAGAACCACCTGCCAACTCCCTTAGGATGCTCAGTCCTGCTGCTGCTTATCATATCCCAGCCCCCCACCGGGCAGTACCTCAAACTCCAGGCCCATCCCTGAGGCAACTCCCCACATCCCTTAGCACATGACATGCAGTAGGTGGTCCAGATGACCACTATGAGTGCCTGAACACATCAACACCATCTACATCCCAACCCCAGCTCTTCCTTCTTGTAAATCTGCAAGCTCCTGAATAAACCTATGCCTAGCACAGCGCCTGGCGCACAGTAGGTGCCTAGCTGGCGTGAGTTAGGTTGTGAGGGTTCAAAGCACCTTGACCTCTGCCTTGAGGGTCCTGATGGTCTGTGCCTCTCCTCCTCCTCCTCCTCCTCCAGTCCCTGCTTTGGACTCTTGAAGGTCAGCCTCCTGACTGTCTTCTGGCTCTGTTGCTTTGCAGAAGAAGAGCCCAGGAAGGTGAGGGAGGTAGGAAGTGGAGATGAGTGGAGGAGGGGTGCTGTCAGAGCCCCTCAGAGGGCAGGGGGGGGGAGGAGGAGGAGGAGGAGGAGGGCTTCTCCAGTTTAGCACACATCACCAATTCTTCCTGACCCTCTCAAAAACTCACAAAAACTCATCTCCCTAAAGAGCCAGAGGAGGGGAGGTTGTGTCCCCGGATAGAAATCAAGTCCCAGCTCTTGGGAATTCCAGGACTGTGCTATGGTCCTATCCCCACGGGGTCACACTGGAGGCCAGGGCCCTGCAGGGCAGGCAAGGCATCATTTAGGAATGAAAGCCTCAGCCCTGGCAGGGGCAGGTGTGTGTGTGTGTGTGTGTGTGTGTGTGTGTGTGTGTGTGTGTGTGTTAGGGGCGAGGCTCCTAGACTAGGAAATTTGTCTTGTATCCGCCAAACTTGGGAGGGGGTCTGACTTAAACAACTCCTGGCAGGGCCTTGCTGCTGTCCAGCTCGATGCTTTGGGGAGTGAATCTCAGCAAGACAGTGGGAAAGATAACTCTCAACTCGCCCTGATCTCAGGATGGATGGGTTCTCAGACTAGAGATGGGCAGGGGAAGGCTACATTAGATCTCTGTCTCTGTCTGTCTCTCCCTGCCCCCCCTCCCCAAGTCATCTCCAGGAATCTTTCTGCTAAAGAAGCTGTGGAAGAAAGGGGCATGACAGGCTAAAGTGTGAGGGGAGGACTTGTCTCCCCTCTCCCCCCCCTTCTCCACCCCTCCCCCAGCAGCTCAGCTCTCTTCAGGAATTCAGCCCAAGTCTCGGCCACAGTTGGGAGAGGACATTAAGATGTGAGGCCAGCCAGACACCTGCCAGGGCTGCGAGGTGCAGGAGAATGCAGGAGCGAGACCCCAGGGGTGAGGTGGGGGGAGGAGACGGTGACCTCCCGAGGTGGCAGCCCGGTGTCCTTCCGCACCCTTGCCCTCCCCGACTAGCTCAGGGTGGGCAGTGGGGGTGCCTGGCAGCACCCATCGTTAGACACCCCAGCTTCATCTCCACTCAGGAGGGGATGGGCCAGGGTGGCAGAGGCGTCCCCAGACACTGCATGGGGCAAGGGGAAAAGTCACCCCAGAACCCACAGCCAAGTCGCCCCCAGTCTTCCCCCGGCCCCCCCCTCAGGACGCGACCCCTCCAGACCAATGAAATCCACGCAAGCTTGCGCGATGGCACACACAGGTGCGCACACAGGTGCACACGCACACGTGCACACACACACACGTGTACACGCACATACACGACTTCTCTTCCCCTTTATCTGGAAATCTCCACAATTGCATTGAGACTTAAACTTTTTTTTTTTTTAAAGAAGAGGGGCTCTTGGGGCGCGCGAGGGGCGCTTGGGGATTCTGCCCAGGATCTCCCCGCTCTCGGGGCTCGGATCCCCGCCCCTCCCTCCCACCTGCTTCTCACCTGGTAAACCGAGGCACAGCAAGAGGCTGTAGTAGATGACCGGCACGAAGCCCAAGCCGCAGGAGGAGCCGGGGGACCCGGACAGCGAGCTGTTGGCTGCGAGGTGGGCGTGCGTGTGCTCCATGGGCGCTGCGCCCCTCGGTCCCCGCGCCCCTCGGTCCTCTCCGGGCCGGGGGCTCGGAGGTGGCGGCGGCGGCGGTGGCACGGCAGCCGGGGAGAGCTGCAACCTCTCCCCCAAAAGGACTTGGCTATGGTCCCCTCTGCACCCCCGCACCCGCCGGCCTGGAGTCGGGGACTCGGGCACCGGAGCCGGTGTGTGCACCTCCCACCTCCCGCCCCAGAGCCGGGGGGCCGGGACGCTGCACCTCTCAGCCAATCAGCGGCAGCCTGGATGGGGGGGGGGAGGCGAGGTGCGTGTGGAGGGGGGCGCGGAGCCGGTGGACGGTGCCGGGAAGGAGGGGGGTCCCAGCGGCCTTTCTCGGCTCCACTTCCAAGGAAGAAGATGGAATTGGCCCCGGGAACCCCTTCGGAGGAAGACTGGGGCGCCGACGCCCACGTGACCCCCCTCCTTGTGTCACCCCGCGGGAAGGGGTGTGGTGAGGTGGGGCTGGCACCGCTCCCCGCCGGCCTCAGTTTGCCCTTTTGCTCCACTCTCCTCCTGGAGCTCTCACGCCTCGAATCCAGCGTCTGGATGGAACATTGGACACCCAGGGCGGGAGGGAGGGGTCCGGCGGGGACTCGGGGTGGGGGTTGGGGGACAAGGGGGTCGTCAGCGAGGCAGGGCGCGTGCATCTGTTTCTGCGAGTGTGTGCACGCGCGTGCGTGTGTGCATGCGTGTGTGGGTGCGCGCGAGCGCGCGTGGATTCCGGGGTGCGCCTGGAGGGTCCGCAGGCCGCCGCCGCACGCGCGCGCGGCTCTTCAGCCTCGGATGGGGATGCGGCAGCCTCGCGCGCACACAAAGGCGCACAATGCCCGGCGGTGCCGGGGGCCCGCGCACACTTCCCCACGCCCGCGACGCCCTCGCGCCCCCGCCCACCGCGAGCACACACCCTGCCCCCCCCCCCGCTCCAAGGCAGTGAGGATAGATGGGCAGAGCGGGGGGGGGGCGGGTAGGGGGAAGGAGGGCTGGCAATGGGGAAGGTCCGGGTGCACAGCACCCCCTTCTCCTCAACTGCAAGGGCAATGCTTCTCGGGGGTGCCACGAATGGGACAGGGAGGGGCGCCTGTCCCAGAGTCCCAAGATACTGAAGGCATGTCTAGCAGCCAGCAGGGGTGTCTGCTGGAAGCCTAGGGCCATCCTGGTGGCTCCCCCAAAACCCTCCTCCCCAGGACATGCCCCAAACCTTGTGGGGGTGGGGAGAGGGGAGGGGACCCCCCCCCCCGCCTGTCACATCCTGTGAGGGGCTAGGTCAGTTCTGCTAGGGAGGGGTTGGGAGAGGGCCCCCGGCCAGGTCCCACCTCTCTCCAGCTCCCAGAGGCTTGGTATTCTGCCTAGAACAGATCTGCTGTCGCCGGGTAGATGTGTAGTGGACAGACAGACATCTGGCCCTCCCAGGGACAGAGTGTCATCTTATGACAGAGTACCATGTGCATAGTGAAGCCCTGTCGGATAGTTCAGGCCCCATTAGATATTAAAATTTTATTGTGACCTCTCTCATTGTTTTTGTTTTTTTAAATTTGAGTGACATAATAATTGTGCGTGTTTTGGGGGCAGAGAGAGCCGATTCTGTGCATGTTTCTGTTGACAACGCGTCAGGATCAGTAGCTACCCTGAGCTGTGAAATCAGGGTTGGGAAGGGAGCATTTATTAGGGAGCATAACTCTTTTCAGAGACGCCCCTTGAACTGTGAATTGTGGATAAGATCCCAAGAGGAAAAACACCAACTAGTTTAATTTGCTCATTTGTGCTGGTCCTGGAGCTTGAATCCTGGGCCTAGGTACTGTCCCTGAGATTCTTTTGCTGAAGGTCAGTGTTCTGCCACTTGAGCCACAGTACCACTTCTGGCCTTTTTTTTTTTTTGAACTCTGGGCCTGGGCACTGCCCCTCAGCTCTTCAGCTCAAGGCTAGTGCTCTACCACTTGAGCCACAGCACCACTTCTGGTTTTCTGGTGGTTCATTGGAGATAAGAGTCTCATGGACTTAACTGCTCAGGCTGGTTTTGAACTTTTATCCTCAGATCTCAGTCTCCTTAGTAGCTAGGATTACAGGTGTGAGCCACCAGTGCCTGGCACTTCTGACTTTTTCTGAATAGTTTATTGGAGATAAGAAGTCTCACAGACTTTCCTGCCCAGGTTGGCTTTGAACCATGATCCTTGGATCTCAGCATCCTGAGTAGCTAAGATGACAGGTGTGAGCCACCTGCACCCTGCTCAATTTTTTTTTAAAAAGAAAAGTGTAGAAAATTTCCTGTCTTTTGCATGGCAGATGCAGGCACAAAACATACCTGTTGCCAGATATCACCCAGCTCTGCTTTACTTAGATCCTTGGCCTTCTTAGAGGATTCTTGCAACACGGTAGAAAGATGGACACCCATGTGTGTGGATTTGCCCCATAAAGGGTCTGTGCAGAAGGAAAATTCTGGAACAAGTCCTGGGCAAAGGTTTCTACACGCCAAGTCATGTGCACACCTAGCCAAACTCACTTTGAGTTGGATTTCTGTATCCAGTCCTCCACCCCATCCCCCAAAAAACCCATCCCACTGATTGGCTAGGTGTAATTCACATGTCCAGTGAGGGAACCAACAGAAAAGAACACATGGTTGTGGGAGAAGGAGGGGCTTGTATGGGAATTCCATTATGGGAGGGGTGGGATTGATGCTGGGCAGGAAAAAACAACACAGGTCTACAAGCCACATTCACCCTGTGTGATACCAATTTACCACTGCTCTGTGAGATCTGGCTTGTCTCTTTCATTGAAATAAGTACATAAATAAATAAATAATGTAAGCAACCTTGAAGTGATGGCTCGTGTCTGTAATTCTAACTACTTGGGAAACAGATCCAGAGGATTGCAGTTCAAGGCTAACAAAAAGTTTGGAAGATCTCATCTCAACAGCAACAAGCCCAGCTTGCCATTTCAGTTACAGTGGGATTTGAAAATAGGAGGATAGTAGTCAGGGCTCATGGGAGAAAAAAATATGAAGACTCTATCTCAAAAGTGCAATAAAAAAAGATAGAAGTATGGCTCAAGTGGTAGAGTACCTGCCTAGTAAAACTGAGAACTACCCCAAATCAGCCAGTCAATGAAAAAAAAAATACTTTAATTTTTAGAGTGGCTTTAAATTCACAGCAAAACTGGGCATGTCCTCCACAATCATATACCCTCCCCTGTGACCAACATACTATGAAGACCCCCAGCATGATGCCTCATGGTATGGTAATAAAAGACAGGAGGTAGTGCTAGCTTACAAAGAGAAAAGGTTCTGTTTTAGCTCATGGTTCTGGAAGGTCCATTCCAAGATTGGGTAGTTCCATCGTTTTGGGCCTCTGGTGAGGGCAAGCACATCATAGCAAGGGCATGGAGCAGAACAAAAACCACTAACATCATTAGCAGAGAGAGAGAGAGAGAGAGAGAGAGAGGGGGGGGAGGGAGAGGGAGAGGGAGTGATTGACATTCCACAATCCCAAGGACAGATAACAAAATCCCACTAGACTCAGTCTCTTAAGGCACAGAAGCTTCCAACATGATCACTCTTTTGTAGCACAGCAATTCGTTACAGCCGATGGGCCTATACTGAGCCAGCCTTGTCTTCCTAAGGCTAGACCAGCCTCCGCTCACACTGGACCCAGTAGGTACTTTGGCTCTGGGTTAATGTGTAATGATACTACCCCATCATCATCAAAGAGCTTTGCTGTCCAGAAGTTTTCTGTACCCCGCCCATAACCCCTTCCTCAGTCTCTCTTCCCAACCCCTGTGTTTTATTTATTGATGTCAAAAATACCTTCTGTATGAACTGTAAGCATACTGATGTCTAGTTCATGCTGGAGTTCTGGGATGACATATCCAGATAGATACATGTCATTCACTTTGAGATGCATTAGAAAGTGCAAAACCTTGATGGATTGATGGAGAGAGAACCTAGAATGCAATTAAGCTAGAACATGTTAGAGGTAAAGTCCAGGGCCTAAACGTATTCATAAGCTGGGTACCGTGGCTCATGCCTATAATCCTAGCTACTCAGGAGGTTGAGATCTGAGGATCACAGCTCAAAGCCAGCCCAGGGAAGGAAAATCTATGAGACTCTTATCCCCAGTAAATTACCAAAACAACAATAACAAACCAACAATAATAACACTAACAAACAAAACAAAAAACCAGAAGTAGAAATGGAACTGTGGTGCGAATGGTAGAGTGCTAACTTTGAGCAAAAAGAGCTCAAGGACAGTGACCAGGCCCTGAGTTCAAGCATAAGGACCAGCAGTAAATAACTAGATAGATAGACAGATAGATAAATATATTAAAAATAAATAGATATGTTGTTTGTCTAAACTCCATTCTGCTCTTACACATGCATGAAAATTCTCACACTAAGTTATAGGAAAAGGATGTTGCATAATGCATCTTGGTCAAGTACCATTATTACAAGCAATTGAATCCAACATCTCCTTGTGGCATTGCTATTCTTTTTGAAATTCAACCTTTAGAGTCATTGCAAAGATGGGCTCCTTCCCTGCTATTTGGCTGTCAAAACACACCTGATTTTTTTCCCCTCTCCTGATGTTCTGGATTCAGTTTGCCAATGACCTTGAACCTGCTCTGCTCTAGCTTTTTCATTTCCTTTTTCTTTTTTATACCAGTGTCTTTTGTCTGCAGGCCCTTGTTTGTGTCCCGGTAAGAATGATAGCTGTGGTGGTTCTCTCTGTGTTTGCTCTCCGCCCCATGCGTGGCTTGCTGTGGAGGAGCTCTGTGTGAGCTGCTGGGGATCAATTCCCGAAGTCCTTGTAACACTTGCTTGCTACAGCCCGTCCATTGTCATACTTTGGGTTAAACGTTTTGAAGTCTGTCCTTGGCCAATCGGGGGGGGGCGGCCTCAGAGAGGGAAGGGAACACCTCTCCAATTGTACCCTTCTTGATGGGAGAATTCGGGGTGCTTCCTGGAGGGCCGGTGAGTGCAATGGAGTAAAGGAGGTGAGGAAGAGGCAGATTGTGCACAGGTGTGTATGCATGGATGTGTGTATCCGTGCCGGCGTGGCAAGTATGTACATGAGTGTTTGCTTGCACGAGTGTGGATATATGCAT